CCCAGTCGGCAGGGCGGAGGCCGGGCCCTCTTGCTCGCCCCGCCTCCTCATTGTCCTCCCCACGCCCTCCCCGCCCAAGGCCGAACCCCGAGCCGGGTCTTTCCCCCAGCCCGGCCGGCCCGGCCCGCGTGGATCCCGGCTCGGAGGGGCCATCGCCGCCGCAGGTCAGGAGCAGGGGGCAGGGAGGGGGGGCTGTGGATAGAACCGGGGTCCCTCTGGGCCCCGGGAACGCAAGCTGCCTCTGTGTCCTCCCCCCACCCCCGAGGAAGCTGGGCGAGCCCTTGGGGTTCCCATGTCGGCCTGCAGCAAGGCCTGTGCATGTGTGTGCGTGTGTGTGCATGTGTGTGTGTGTGTGTGAACCAGGGCAGCGTGGGCGCTCGTGCCCGGGCACATGCCCAGGCCTGGCTGCTGCTGCTTTCTTTAAACAGGATCCTTCCCCCTCCCTACCCCCCCCCAAAAGCCTGACACCCCATGTGGTGAGAGATCAAACATCCATTACCCCCCCCACACACACACACATAGACATACACATGGCAAGGCCCACCCTGACACCCCCCCCCCAGACTTGGTCATTAACACAGGGCGCGTGGATGCTGGAGGGGGGACAGGACATTCATTCCTTCTCCTGGCAAGAAAGAACTGCTCAACACCCCCCCCCCCGCCCCCCTTCTTCCCAAACTCTCAGGAAGTGAGGCCCAGTAGATTCAGTTCTGTGGGGGAGGAGGGTGTCCAGGGCGGGCCTTTCAGGGCCTTCTCTGAACTTCCAGGTAGAAAAGTAGGGTGGGGGGCCACCCCCATATGTCTGTGCTATGCGCTTGTGGGTCCCACCCAATCTCAAGACCAAGAAGGACTGACCACGGGGAAGTGATCCATCACGACAGGAAGGCCTCCCTCTTGTCTTTGAGGCCTTAGGATGATGGCTTCCTGGGCCCAGAGGTGTCTTGGAGTGATCAGCCTGTCCCTGGCGGGCCAGTAGGTTGCATCGGCCTGGTTGTGATAGAGATTGGGGTCGGAGGGCACATCTCCTTTGGTGGGTGCCCCTTATCTTATCTCTGTACTCACTCAGGATGTTAGCTAAAATCATTTTTTGGGAGGGTTCAGTCGTGGGGCTTGAACTTAGGGCCTAGGCGCTGCTGTCCCTGAGCTCTTCAGCTCAAGGCTGGTGCTCTACCACTTGAGCCACAGCACCACTTCCGGTTTCCTGGTGGCTCACTGGAGATAGGAGTCTCACGGACTTTCCTTCCCTGGGCTGGCTTTGAACTGAGATCCTCTGGATCTCAGCCTCCTGAGTAGCTAGGATGACAGGCATGAGCCACCGGCTCCTGGCCAAGATGTTTTAAAATAAGGTGGTTTCCAGCTTGTTCTTTTCCATGTTGGGCTGCATCCTGGGCACCGTCTAGGAGCACCCCCATCTGATCACAGGACGAAGCTGGTCCAGCTGTGGGGTGAGTCAACGTGGACCGGGACATCTCAGAGCAGGCCTGAGCTTTCCCAGTATCCCTGCACAGACACAGCCAAGCTTCCCGCTTCCTCTCCTTGGTGCAACTCTACTTATCCAAGAGAGAGCCCAGCAGGTGCTTTGCGCCGACTCAACGCTTCATGTCTCCGGCCACAGCAAAGGCATGATGCATACAGGTACACACCCTTGACCCCGATCTTAAAGACAGTGGACAGGGAGTGCAGCAGAGGTTGGAAATCAACCCAGTCATAGGCCGTAGAGCCCTGGTCTATTCACCCATCTTGTATCGGGTTGGGAGAAGATGGGCAGTAGCTTTGGCCAGTTGTTTTAGTTTGTAATGATCCATCAGAACTCCTGTACTGGGAATTGAACTCAGGGCCTGGGTGCCGTCCCTTTAGTGTTATATTTTTGCTCAAGGCTGGCATCCTACTACTTGAGTCGTGGCTCTACTTCCGGCTTTTTGGTGGTTAATTGGAGATAAAGGAGTCTTACACAGCTGGGCACTGGTGGCTCACACCTGCAATCCTCGATCCTCCAGGATCTGAGGATCATGGTTCAAAACCAGCCCAGGGAGGAAAGTTCTAAGTCTCTAATCTCTTAACTACTGAGCAAAAACTGAAGTAGCACTGTGGCTCAAAGTGGTAGGAGCACAAAGCAGCTTAGGGACAACACTCAGGCCCTAAGTTCAAGTCCCCCAAGACTGGCAAAACATAAAAAAGAGGTCTCACACTTTTCCTGTCCAGGCTGGCTTTAAATCGCAATCCCGTTATGTCCTTTTCTCTAGATAAGCCCCTGAGTACACAGGACATGGATGAAGTATGGGTAGGAACAGGGGAGGTTTTGTCCCCCAATACCTCCTCCCCGTTCCCCCCTGAGCCTCCGGGGACCTCGGGGAGCATCATTCCTGTCTACTGCGCCCTGCTGTCCACCGTGGTTCTTGGCCTGCTCGCCTACGTGGTCTTCAAATGGTAGGATGGTTGGTCTGGGCAGTGCCACAAAAGCACCCTTCCATCCCGGGCAGCATGAGTTCACCTCCTGCTCCCCACAGCTGGCGCTCGCGCAAACACAGACAACAGCTGGCCAAAGTTCGGACGGCAGAGCTGGGGGTCCTGGACCAGAGGCCTGGCGAAGAGAGCACCATCTTTCTGGACTCGCCTGGTGGAACAGAACCCAGCAGCCATGCCCAAGGTAAAAGCCTCCTTCATCTGGGATCCCCCTGGGTCCCCCCCACCCCCCACGCCGCCCTGGGCCTCCTGTGTCTGACCGATCTCTGGGCATGACCCCACCCCAGACCCCGACTGCCGACTTTACCTTCATCTCCCCCGGAAGCAGCAAGAGGAAGTGGAACGGCTCCTGGAGGTGCCCGGTGAAGCTGACCAGGGCTGGCGGGCCCTGGCAGGGCTTCTAGGCTATGAGGTTGAAGCTGTGGAGACCATAAGCAGGAGCCAGGAGCCGGCCTATACCCTGCTGAGGGACTGGGCGGCCCAGGAAGGCAGCCGGGCTACCCTCCGGGTGCTCCGCGATGCTCTAGCTGCGCTACACCGTGAAGATGTGCTGCAGGCGCTGGGCCCTTTGGTGGAGGGCGACTCTGTGGTATGAGGAGGGGTCCTGCCCACCCGTTCTGGTGCTCCCTCTTTTCTACTTTTGTATCCTGTATTAAAGGTGGCTTTGGATTTCTCGCTCTGGCTCCTCAGGCCTCTGGGACATTGAGTAGCTATAAGGCAGACACCCCCCCTCCCCCAGAAAAGGGCTGGGGTGCTTCACGCACCTCCTCCAGGCAGCAGCTAGAATGAGTGGCAGTAGCATATGTGCCTTGTGCGGGTTTGTGAGCTTTGGAGGCTCCGCCCGGATTTCACAGCCTGCGCATGCCCTTTGCTGGCTGGGTTGTGATGAGAAGCCAGTGAAGTCTTGCTGAACTTCGGCTTCCTTGGGTCCTGAAGCCTTCCAACTCCAATGCAGAAGCTGGGGTTCCAGATCATTTTCCTGGGCTGGGAACATGGCTGAGTGGTAGAGTGCTTGCCTAGCATGCATGAAACCCTGGGTTCGATTCCTCAGTGCCACAGCTGTTAGTGGCACTTTGGCTCAAGTGGTAGAGTGCTAGCCTTGAGCAAAAGCAGCTCAGGGACAGCACCCAGGCCCTGAGTTCAGTTCAAGCCCCAGGACAGGGGAGGGAGGGGAAGAAGGGGATGGGTTTTCCCCACTTGGGCCATGAACAAGTACACCCTCTCCTCCACCCCCCCCCCAAATCCACGCACACACGCACATGAGCATCAACTCTCAGGGAACACACAAGACCAAGTTCTTTAATTGATTTTATTTTTTACATAAAAAGTTCAGTAAAAATTGGATAAAGTAAAGTGATTTTAAGCAGTAAATCAATCTTATCAACATAGCACGAGGCTGGCCAAAACCACAAGGCAGCCTGCTTCGGAATATTTACATGATAACAAATTAAACCTTGCAGGAGAACTGAAACCGTCCTTACAAAGTTTTCCTGTGATCCTAGCACATGGAGGCTAAAAGCAAAACAAAACAAAAACAAAAAACAAAAAAAAAACAAAAACTGGGGCGGGGCTGGGGGAGGGAACAAATTATTTTCAATATATTCACATATACATTAAAATATAATACAGATGGTCGGGGTCGGGGGTCAAGGGTGGGGGGGGAGGGGAATGCGCATGGGTCTGTGCGCTGACAGCACCGCCAAGGAGGAGACCCAGGTCACAGGTTGGGGTCAGGTCTGGCCAGGGTGTTCCCCAGGGGTGGGGGGGTTGTTCCCCATGGCCCCTGATCAGCTCCCAACAGCTCACAACGGGGGTGGGGGGCGACTTGGAGCTGGAGCTCAAGCTCTGTTGACTCCTGCAGCCTTGGATGGCCGGGGGTGCTGGCCACGGAGTGAGGCAGAGGCTGAAGGATTTCTTCTCCCTCGAATCCCCCCACCCCACCCCGAGTGCCCAGCCGGCCACCTGCGCCCACACACAGTCACTCTAACTCGGTGTCCTCTTTGGGTTTGTAAACAGCCCCAAACTTCTGCATGTACTTCTTGATGTACTCCTTGGTTTTGTGTTTCACATTCTCGTTGCACTCCAGGTCCTCGGGGTTCTTACAGTACTTCAGCTCCTTGTTCATAACCCCGTGCGTCAGCTGTCCAGGGCACAACAAGACATGCGCGCGGCCACCATTAAGAGGAGCAGTGATTGGAGGGGAGGGGTGGGGAGGAGCTGCTGGGGCTCGCCTCCCTGAGGCTGGGCTTCCATGGCCCCCCTCCCCAAGCCCTCCCGCACACGCCGCCCCCCCCCTCCACCCTGGCATCTGGCAAGTCAAAAAGCACGCTCCTAGGCCAGGGGGGCCATGCCAGACGGGGCGCAGGGGGAAGTACCTTGCGGGCCAGGTGCTTGAAGTCCTCGGTGGTGGTGATCCTGCCCACTTTGCAGTCAGGCTTCCGGTAGGGGTTCAGGCACTGGACAATGAACTGAGACATCTGTGGGCAGAGGGGCGGGGGGCGCGGCTGAGCGGCAGGACTGAGGGTGTGGAGCGCACCTGCGTGGCGGAGGCGCCCCCAGCAGTGCTCCAGTCCCTGCCCTGGGGCTGGTGTGCAGGGCATGCTGGGAAGCTGGGGAGTTCCTGGGGAGCATTATCTCGAGTCCCCTCTTGGGCTGCCCCTGCAGGGGCTGTGCTGAGCAGTGGCTTTCCAGCAGCGCTGTGTGTGAGATCACGGGGGACAGAGGGGGACAGAGGGGAGCACCTCCCCCCCCTGCAACTCCACGGGCAGCCAGGAGTTCAAGGAAAAAGGCTGGACCCCAAAAAGGGACGAGAGAGCTGCAGCCTGGCTGGGCTGGAGCCCCCGACGCCCTCCCCCAGGGCCTGCTGTGTTTCTGAACGAGCCTTGGGGGCGCCACCCCCACCCATGGTGACCGGGCTCCTCTGCCCCCCTCTTCCAATCTGCTCATTAAAAACGGTCACAGGTTTCACCACTCACCCGAATCCCCAAAGCAGTTTCCCCCCAAATGCAGACGGGCCCCTGAGCAAAAGTGCTTCTGTCTAGCCCCATTCCCAACAGCCTCACGTGCCCTGTGACAGCTACCCACAATCCTTTGAGCGAGCCAGGCTGTCTGACCAGCCGCCACCCAATATAGGCAGCCAGGTGACGTCAGGCCTCAAGCCCGCCCCCCCCCCCCCCCCCCCCCCGCCCATCCACAGCTCGCTGTCCCCAGAGCTGCCCAGACGCTTCCCCACCACACGAGCCCCTTCACGTTCCCCACTGCCAGTTATTATTGTTCTTATTTGTGCGTGCGTGTGCTGGCATTTCAACTCTTGGCTTCAGGCTCTCAGCTGGCTTTTGTGCTCATGGGGCGGGCTGGCCTCCATTCCCCCTCCCTTAACGGGGGTGGGGGTGGGGGTGGGGGGGGGACAGCCATCCATTAAAGCCTCCAAGAAAACAACTGCAACTTGAGCAAGAAGATGTCAAGCTCAAGTCTTTTGTCAAGAACTTGACTTTTCAGCTGGGGGATCGTGTTCACACCTGTAATCCTAGATATTCAGGAGGCTAAGACATCTAGAAGATCACAATTTAAGGCCAGGCTAGGCGGGGGAACGGGGGACAGGACTTCCCAGGGGTGGAAAAGTCTGCAGCATGCAGACTTGCAAAAAAAAAAAAAACCTCTGGGCTTGGAAGCGTAACTTGAGTAGCACAGCGCCAGCCTCGCAAGTGGGAGTCAAGTTTAAACCTGAGTTAACACCCCCCAAAAAACAGTCCTGAGATTAGTTCTTCCGCCTATGTGATTGGAATGGCGGTGCCTGTCTTGACTATGAGGGGAGAAATCCAAGCAACGTGAGCAGAAATGTCATCCTGATTGTAAGGGGTCTTCCCAGCCACACGGTAAGGCAGCCTTCCCAGCGCACCCAGCCTCCCTGGGCCTTCAGTCCTCTACAAGGCCCGGATGTGGCTGCTGAGCAGAATGGGCTGGGGAGCGCGAGTCCTTCAAGCCAGAGCTCACGCTCCTGCCTGTCTGTGCGCAGGTGGAGGGGAGGCGCGTGCACAGCTGCCACGTGTCACGCGTGGAGACAGGAGCCCGGGCCGCTGGGGCAGGCCTTACCTCTTTTCGGAACACTTCTTTGCTTTTCTTCGCCAGCTCACTGGAGGTGTCTGCCTCGGCTGTCTTGGGCTTTTTCGATGTCTACAAAATGGGAGAGAGAGAACACAGCAGCGTGAACATGAAAAGTCAGTTTAGCGAGGCCCTGCTGTCCCCCACAACCCCCCTTGCCCACTTGAGCCGACATGGCTGCTGGGTTGCAAATCCTGCCATCTGGCTCCGGCCTCCTGAGAAGGACCTCCAATCCTCTAATTTAGCACTCGCATGGGGGCGCGTGCGCACGGTGACACGCTGGCTCACCTGGATATTAATGTTGCTGGCCTGGACTCAAGTTGCTAAACCTCTCCTGGCTACTCAAATCCCCTCTCCTCCGAAGCCGGAGCTGCCCGGACTATGGAAGAGGGAGTCAACATGCAGGAGAAACTCGTGAGAGGAAGACTTCTAGTTCAGGATCGAGGATGAAGGGCAGCAGAGGTATGGGAGGGGGAAGATGGAGTCATCCAAGCCAGTCACCAGATGAGCAGACCCAACACCCAGAAGATACTTTGTCCCAAGATGGGAAGATGGCCGGTGCCGGTGGCTCACGCTTGTCAGCCTTACTATTCAAGAGGCTGAGATCTGAGGATCGAGGTTCAAAGGCCACCCGGGCAGGAAAGTCTATGAGATTCTTTTTCTTCAAGTAACTACAGAAAGCCAGAAGTGGCGCTGTGGCTCAAATGGTAGAGTGCTAGCCTTGAGCAAAAGAAACTCAGGGACAATGCCCAGGCCCTGAGTTCAAGCCCCAGGACTGGCAGGGGGAAAAAAAAATCACTGTGCACATTCCCCTTTGATAAAAGTAATTTCGGATGGATCGAGGAACTCCAGCTGAGGCTTAGAACACAATCCTTCTGGCTTCTCCCCGGTTCCATTGTCTCCATTTCTACAGACAGTATGAAGGCTCTAGTTCTGCCCATGCAGGCTACTTCCTCAATTCAGGGCTCACCCCCTAAGAAAAGGTGCCACTCCTTTGGCTGTGGTTACCATCATCTGCTTTCTATGATGTAGTACAAATGCTTTACATAGTTTCCATGTTTCTACTTCTCTTTCTCTCACTGTGGGGGAGTGAGGGTGGGGTGGGAAGTTAGACCAGATCCAACTTGTTTTCAGGGGAAACACACACACAGACACACACACTAGCTTCTCAGGAGGATCTAATGCCCCCCCCCAACCTAGCTACTCAGGAGGCTGATATCTGAGGATCATGGTTCAAAGCTAGCCCAGGCAGGAAAGTCTGTGAGACTTGTATCCTCTAATAAACTACTCAGAAAAAGCTGAAGTGGCCCTGTGGCTCAAGTAATAGTGCTAGCCTTGAGCAGAGAGGCTCAGGGACAGAGCCAGGTACTGAGTTCAAGCCCCAGAGTAGCAAAACAACAACAAGAAAAAATACCCCAAAACACTCCAAAAACAAAAAGAAATCACCAAACGCATGGGGCTTTCTTCGCTGCTGTTTTGTTTTCTTGGCAGTATTGGGGTGTAAACCCAGTGAAGTCAGGACTTTGTATTTAAACCACACCTCTAGACCAAATGTTTTGACTTTTATATGTGTGTGTGTGTTGGTCCTGGGGCTTGAACTAAAGCCCGAGCACTGTCCCTGAGCTTCTTTTGCTTTAGGCTAGCAGGCTTGAGTCATGGGTCCTCTTCTGGCTTTGAGTAGTTTACTAGAGATTTAGTCTGGCTGATTTTCTTACTTGGGCTGGTTTTTAACTGCAATCCTCAAATCTTTGCCTCCTGAGTAGCTACAGGCACAAGTCACCAGCGCCAGGCTTCTTTTTCTTTTTTGGTCTGAGATCGGGACTCAAACTCGGGACTCAAAACTGATGCTTTCATTCATTGCCTAGTGCTCTACCAACTGAACCTCGCCTCCACCCCCGAGATGATTATTTTTTCCAGTTGTAGAAGAGCACATAGTCCACAATAAGACCTCATGGAGCAAGAGCTTTAAGAGTGATTTGCATTAGCCAATAAAATTCCACCATCTTCCCAGCTGTTCCTCGAGTAGATCTCAGAAATGAGCAGCAGCCACAGGAGCACAGAGAGTGACTTCAGGTCTGACAACCACCTCCAGGATCCTGAGCCTGAGCAGCTGGGTCCATGGGAACATTTTACACTTTGCCCCCCTTTGGAGAGGTTATGTGCTCGGAACTCTAAATGCAGTGCGTGTGTAATACCGTCCTAGTTAGTCCCTGACTTGGTGAGATCCTGTTTTAACCCACAGTGCGTGGAGCTCTTGTCTAGCTGCTCTCCTGGCTCGCAGGTCGCTGTGAGGGAGAAGGAGGAAAAGACTGAACTGAAGTTCGCCCAGGCTGACCTCGGGGAAAATCATGTGCTCCAAGGACTGACATTCATAAACCCCACTTTTCTCGGTCTGTGGTCAGCATGGGAAAGCAATTCAAGGACTATTTAAGCTGGACACCAAGCAAAGGAATCAGAGCCAGAGGGAGACTTGCCATCACCATGACCCCGCCTCACTCCCCCAAAGTCCCCTTTTAAAAGTTAGCATTAGCTGGGCGCCAGTGGCTCAGGCGGGTCATGCTAGCTACTCAGGAGGCTGAGATCTGAGGATTGCAGATCAAGGCCAGCCCAGGCAGGAAAGTCCATGAAATTCTTATCTTCAAATTAACTTCAAGGAAAAAACAAACAAACAAACAAAAACACTGGAAGTGGAGCTATGGCTTAAGTAGTAGAGCGCTAACCTTGAGCACAAAAGCTCAGAGATAGTGCCCAGGCCCTATGCATGCATGCACATATACACAAAGGTCTTGCTAACAGCCAGGGCCCGCCTCCTCCTCACACCTGGTTTCTAAGTGTGGTGTAGGCCTGTGTGTGTTTTCCTCTGGTCCCCAGCTGATAATCAGGTATGCTCACTCAACAACATTACCATCTTTGCTACCCAGGTCTGGTCTGACAAATCCCTCTACCATGTGATTTCTTGGTTCCTCGCTATGACTGAGTAGCTACGCCTGAATCATTTTGCAAACTGACCAACAAATGGGAGCATCCACTGGAAAAACTCTCTTGCGCCTGGGATCCCACCTTTTACAACTTCCCCCACCCACACATCCTCCTCCACAGCCGCTACCTTAAGGTAACAGTGAGGGGGCAACTCCATACCTTGTGAGGGAATGTTAATCTGGAGGCAGGAAGCAGCAGTAAATGAACTAACTGGCAACCGTGCAGCCAGCAGTCACTCCGTCCTGATGGGTTGTCATGGTGAAGGTGTGGCTTCACACTCGCCACGGGTTGGGGGATGGAAGAGAGCACAAGATGATCGAGAGGGAGGAAGCAACACGGGAGGCGAACAGAGCAGGGAAGGCTCTCTCTCATACATGCTCCGTCTCACAGCTACTGGTGTGGCAACCTCACTCTAGTGGTGGAGGGCCTGCCCAGCAAGGGCAAGATCCTGGGTTCAATCCCAAGCGCACACGCTCACACACGTGCTTTCACTGACACCCAGCACTGGTGTGCTGCTGCACACCTTCTTCTGGGCATTGTCTACGGTCATTCTACACACTTCCAGGATTCCAGCGAGCACCGATTTACTGATGGCTGAAAGCCTAGGCTTCAGTGCTGTCCCAGGCATGGGGGGGGCCGTGCTCAATCCTGAAGGGAGCTCAATTTTCACTTAGGATTTATTGGAACTTCTCTTGTTCTTTCATTCCGTAGACTGAATGAGGGCATCTTTTCCACCCCCACACCCTTCCGCTCTACCCACATGGTTTTTCTAAGTCCTAAAATACCACACCTCCCCCCCTCACTGAACAATGTGTGTACGGAATAATGGCACACCCAGATGCTTCTGGTCTTACAAGTGCTACTAGATTCCAGCACAGGGAGACTCTAACGCCCACCCATCTCCATAGATAGGTCATTTCAACTAATACAGAAATCAAACGAACAAACCTTAGAATTAAATGGCACCATAGAGCAAACGGCATTAACGGATACTGACACCAGAGTTCACCCTGCAGCTGCATAATTGGCAGTGCATGAAACTTTCTCCCAAACAGATATCCTAAGACACACAGCAAATCTGAACCCACAAGAAAACGGACACGAATTCCTTGCATTTAATCAGACCATTCATGGAATTGACCTGGAGCTCAACAGAAGATCCCCAACAGGAAATACTCAAATACACAGAGACTGAACAGCACATTGTGGAATGGACACTGTGGGCTAGTGAAGAAATCAAAACGTTCCTGGAAATGAATGAAAAATGAGGAGGCAACCTACTGGCACCTCTGGAATACAACAAAGCCAGTGTTCAGAGGGAAATCATCAGAGCTATGAGTGCTTATATCAACAACAAACAACAACAAACCAAGCAGGCACCCAAACCACTTTATGAAGCAACCCAAACAAACTCCTCAGGAGATAGGAGCAAACCAATCCTGAAACTAGCAGATGGAAAGAAAGCATAAAACTCATGGCAGGGATCAGTAAATTGGAGACTAAAAAGTACTATGCCAAGGAATAAGATAAACTCCTACTAGCTAATTTGACCAAAAGGACAGAAGAGACTCAAATCAATAAAACACACTGAAAACCTATACTCAAATAAACTGGAAAATCTAGAAGAAATGATACAATTTTGGGGCTGGGAAGGTAGCTCAGTGGTAGAGCACTTGCCTTGCATGCATGAGGCCCTGGGTTCAATTCCTCAGTACCACATAAGCAAAAAGAAAAAAGCGGGAAGTGGCGCTGTGGCTCAAGTGGTAGAGCGCTAGCCTTGAGCTGAAGAGCTGAGGGACAGCGCCCAGGCCTAGAATTCAGGCCCCACGACCGGCAAAAATAAAATAAAATAAAACAAATGGATAAAATTTTAAATACAGATTAACCATTGAAGACCAAGTGAAAGAGAAGTATGGGTTAACAAGCCAATAGAAAACTAACTTGAAATGTGGCTCAAGGAGCTAGGAGTGTGGCTCAGTGGTAGTGCTGGCCTAGCAAAGTGGTGGGTTCGCTTCCTCAGTACCACATAAACACAAAAGAAACTCAGGGGCAGGGCCCGGGCCAACTTCAAGCACCATGACTGCCCCCCCCAAAAAAAGTGGTGGCTCAAGTGGCTGAGCATCAAACTTTAGCAAAAGAGTAAACAGACAGGACCTACGCCCTAAGTTCAAGCTCCAGTACCAACACACACACACACAGACAGACAGACAGACAGACAGACACACACGGTTTAAATACAAAGTAAAGGAATAAAAGGCAGGTGAAGAAATTAAACTCAGAGGAGAGATTTAAATCTAACCCTATACTTATTATCTTTTTTGGGGGGTCAGTCCTGGGGTTTGAACTCAGGGCCTGGCACTGCGCTTCTTTTGCTCAAGACCAGCACGCTACCACTTGAACCACAGCACCGCTTCTGGCTTTTGCTGTTTTCAAGTGGAATCAAACCCTGGCCTCAGGCATGCTAGGCAAGCACTCTACCACTAAGCCACCTTCTTAGTCCCTTATCTAATATCTTAACAAGTAAATGGATCAACTCCTTCCCAACTTTGAAATCTTATCAAGAAAATTAACAGTTAAGTCACCCCATTATCTATTTCCTTCACAGATAAAGTTAATTTTAACCCTAACTTTGAACTTGAACTTCGGGGATGGTCAGATGTATTATAAATGACATGTCTCTACTGAATTAGGCATTATGACGCCCATGCGCTTTACCACTAGTTTCACTGCACGTCTAATTATCATTCTAGCACATTCTAGTCTTTCTAGAATTGTGTATTCAATTATAAATAGCTCTAAGGCAAAGAAGGCTAGAAACCACACCCAAGTCTCCAACATTTTACTTTGTGCTTGTAAGTGGAGAGACACATGAACAAACACACTCAATCAGTGAGTAGAATATGACTTGGATTCCATGGTCAGGGTACTTTGAGAAGATGGCCTGGTCAGGTCAGGATATGCATTTTTGTGAAATATCACCAATGCCCAGATAAAAAGATCTTAACTCCTGCTGAGGCCGGTGGCTTAGGCCTGTAATTTCAGCTACGTGGGAGGACATGGTTAGGGGATCCCACTTCAAAGGCTGGCCCAGGAAGAAAAGTCTAGGAAACGTCATCTCCAAAACAGTCAGTGAAAAACTGGTTTGGAGGTATGGCTCAAGTGGTAGAGTGACAGCCAAAAAGGGAGCTGAGCAAGTGTGAGGCTGAGCTCAAGCCCCAGTCCTGGCAAAAACAAAAAGAATCTCTTTTCTTCAAAATCATATTCCAAATAAGGACTTTCATTCTCAGGTTTCTCTGTGTAAAGGTGTCCGGCAGCCTTAGTTAAAACCACAGAACAGGGCTGGGAAGGTGGCTCAGTGGTAGAGTGCCTGCCTAGCATGCATGAAGCCCTGGGTTCCATTCCTCAGCACCACATAAACAGAAAAAGCCAGAAGAGGCACTGTGGCTCAAGGGGTAGAGTGCTAGCTTTGAGCAAAAGCAGCCCAAGGATAGCGCCCAGGCCCGAGTTCAAGCCCCAGGACTGGCTAAAAACAAAAACAAAAACCTACAGAACACTGTACAATTTTCTACCTTTACTGTATGGTTCAGATCATAACTATCCCCCCAAAGGTCATGTGCTCAATGAAGCCTGTGTGCCATTAGGAAGTAGGAACTAATCAAGGGAATGAGGTCAGTAAGAACTCAAAATGTCTGGAACTAAGTCTCACAGGTTTGTTTGCCCAGACTGGGTCTTGATTCTCAAAGTCTCAGCCTCCTGAGTAGCTAGGATTATCAGCCTGAGCCACTGAAGCCTGGCTTCCTGTTTTTTACAGTTCTGGGGCCTGCACTCTGGGCCTGCGCGCTGTCCCTCAGCTCTTCAGCTCAAGGTGAGTGCCCTACCACTTGAGCCACAGTGACACTTCCGGTTTTTTCTGCTTATGTGGTGCTGAGGAATCGAACCCAGGGCCTCATGCACGCAAGGCAAGCGCTCTACCACTGAGCCACCTTCCCAGACCCATGGCTTGCTTTTTTAATATACCATTTCACTTCACTCCCTTAAAGCACACCACCCATCTTAGTAACCATCCAGTGTTAAGAACAAAAACACATGTAGAAAGAAATCATTTATCCGTCTGAATACTTTGATTACCTTGGGGCCTTCTCTTGCTCTCTTTTTGCCGTCTCTACTAAAAGTAGTGCCCCATAATTAGAGCAAAACCCACATCCTAAATACATCCATCAAATGGGTAACTAGCTAGTATGTGTCTGTGTCCTTGAATGTATGAAAGTTTTGGGATAACGAAGGAAGGGGTGACATTAGCGGAAAAAGAATTGTACTCATGAGCTGACTTCTGAAACGGTAACCCCTCTGCACAACATCTTAATAATAACAATAAACACCTTTTGTCTTTCTCTCAACTTGAACCTCCATTCTGACAGACAGGAACTTTCACATAGTTTTCAGAATAAGAAGAAAAGAAAACCAAGACCGACATGGAGGCTGGGTCTCTTCCATAACAAAAGAAAAGGCTCTCGTGTGCGCAGGAGCCATGAAGTGTAGGCCACACTCACCTTCATGGGGTTTTCGTCGTATGTTGGGGTTCCCAGGTCCATCTCAGCTTCATGTTCAAGGCTGGCATCATCTCCAGGGCTTTCCCAAGAAGGAGGATCCCACTGAGTCTGCCTAGAAGAAGGCAACAAATGGCAGGCTGTCATGGCTGGGAAGAGGGCTCTAGCCATCAAGGTTAGAAAGTACACCATGCAAGGGGGGTAGAAGCAGTCAGCACCCTGGGCTGCCCTTCGGACAGCTCTCTACCAGCAATGACGGACTCTAGATCATTCTTATTCTGTGAGCAATGATAGGTAATGTTGGCTGGGTACTGAAGAGAGGAATAAAACCAAGTAGTTTGCCAGGTACTGGATGGCTCACACCTGTAAGCCTAGTTACTCAGGAGGTTGAGATCTGAAGATGACAGTTCAAAGCTGGCTTTGAGCAAAAGGAAAATCTGTGAGACTGATTGCCAATTAACTCCCAGAGAACTGAAGCAGAGCTGTGGCTCAAGTGGTAAGAGGACTAGCCTTGAACAAAAAAAGCTCAGGGACAGCACCCAGGCTCGAGTTCAAGCCCAGGATCAGCACAAAACACCAAACACCTTGTCTGCCTCTTGCTGATATAATATCCTAGACATAGGACATAGCAAAGAAGTACAGAGCTGTCGGTGCTGCAAGGCTCCGTGAGTGAATGCAGGGCGGGGGGACCCCACATGGCTCTCTTACCTCGTGATTACGTGGTAGTAGTAAATCTTCCCTTCTGGGTCTCGTGCTGTCTTCCAGTTGGGAGGTAACACAATAGTTTTCGGTTTGGGAGGAGAGGGCGGTGGCAGATCCAGTAGATTGTTTGTCACAACCATTTCAGGCTAATACACACACACACACACACACACACAAAGAAAACCCATACATTTAAAAAATCAATGCTCAACAGAATACAAAATTCTTAAGCGTCATTGAAAGAAATGTACATCTTTTGGTTGTTTTTGTTTTTGCCAGTTCTGGGACTTGAACTCAGGGCTTGGCGCTGTCCCTGAGCTTCTTTGTTCAAGGCTCGTGCTCTACCACTTGAGCCACAGCGCCACTACAGGCTTTTTCTGATAATGTGGTACTGAGGAATGGAACCCAGAGCTTCATGCATGCTAGACAAGCGCTCTGCCAATAAGCCACCTTCCCAGCCCTAGTTGCTCTTTTTAAAAAAGGTAAAGTATAATTTGAGAAATAGCTAACTGGACAGATTATATAAATAGTTCTAAGGAACTATGAGAAAACTGACAGTAGCTCCTAGTTCATATCTATTGGAAAATATCCATCAGCTTACCTAAAGCAGTATAGCCCAATATTAAAAACAATGCTAAATAGCCTTTACCAACTAGCTGGTGGACTTTACATAGATCTCCATTTTACTTGGTACATCAAAGCCCTAACCCCACTGTAACTAGTTTGGAAGGCAGGGCCTTGAAAGAAATAATGAAGGGTTCAATGAGGTCACGAGATGAGGGACTTAATCTCATAGGACTTGATGTCCATATGAAGAGTGCAACAGGGGTTGAGGCGTGGTTCAGTTGATAGAGCAGTGGTAGCCAATAAGCAAAAGCATCAGGTACCACGTTTGAGTCTGGGCCTTAGAGAAAAAATAAAAATAAATAAGAAAAGTGACATCGGAGGATGCTTGCAGAGAAAAGGGAAGGCCGGTGGCTCACGCTTGTAATCCTACTCAGGAAGCTGAGATCTGAGGATTGCGGTTCAAAGCCAGCCAGGTAGGAAAGTCTGAGGGACTCTTATCTCCAATAAACCACCAGAAAACCAGGAGTGGCGCTGTGGCTCAAGTGGTAAAGCGCTCACCTTGAGCTGAGGAGCTGAAGGACAGCGCCCAGGCTGAGTTCAAGCCCCACGACCGTCAAAAACAACAACAAAAACAAACAAAAAACAGAAAAGGAACTGGAAGGACACAGCAAGAAGGGAGTAGTCCAAAAGCCACAGGGGCTGCTCAGGAAGACCAAACCCTGCAGATACCTTGATTTTGGACTTCATATCCAGGACTGTGAGAAAACAAATTTCTGTTGTTTAAAATGGTATTACTCATAGCAGCCTGAGCGGGTTAATTACCATGAAGATGTATATCCTTCATTATCCCTCCTAAGTAAGCCAATTAATGAATTATTTTTCAGCTTCACTCCATCTTACACAATTAGGAGGCACTGGAAACTAAAGACTCAAATGAAATCTGCTCACTATTAAACATGGGTCTCTTAAGTGGTCATGCTTTACGTAGACCTGTTTATTTCTACCTTAACCAAGTTGGGATTTTAGTCCCCACTTAAGTTTCATTTCCTCTATCCCCATAGTCCTCTATCTGGCCAATAACATGACCCTTTCTCCCCTAAGCTTCTAAGGCACTAAAGAATAAATATCCCAGGGCTGAGAATGTGGCTCAGTGGTTGAGTGCTCGCCTAGCAAGCATGAAGCTCTGGGTTCCATTCCTCAGTACCACATACACAGAAAAAGCCAGAAGTTGCGCTGTGGCTCAAGTGGTAGAGTGCAGCCTTGAGTAAAAGGTCAGGGTCAGTGCCCCAGGCCCTGAGTTCAAACCCCAGGACTGGCAAAAAGAAAAAAAAAAAGATGGTAAGTATTCCTTATTATTTAGTACTCACTAAATTGCTAAAGCTTCTCCCACTTGGAAATAATTCTTTCCTTCAAACCTTTTTATCTGCACTGTTTATAACACTGAACTACTTTTACTGTTATTTATTAGGACCATCATTTCTCTTAGTGTGAATGTTAAAAGAACAGGAATAGAAGCCTGAAGTTCTAGCTCTTCAGGAGGTTAAGATCTGAGGATTGCAGTTCAAAGCCAGCCCAGGCAGAAAGTCCATAAGACTATCTCCAGTGAACCACCAGAAAACCAGAAGTGGTGCTGTGGCTCAAAGTGATACAGTGCTAACCTTGCGCAAAAAAAACCCTCAGGGACAGTGCCCTGGTCCTAGTCAGTTTAAGCCCAGGACCAAAAAGAGAAAAAAAGAAAAAAGGAATGAAAAATCTTACTCTTCACATTCAAACTGCTCAGGAGAGCTCAACTCATAGCAAGTACTTTAGTACCACTTGTAACCACCTATATCTTACTCTCCAATGGCTCCACGTAGAGTATTTTTACTCTACCTGCACTAATTTTCCAACCATGCCTATCTAAAGCTATATCCAGATTACAAGAGCCATCTCCAGAATTACATGTTCGTTAAACCACAGATCTGCCAATCTTCTTGTTTATAGTTTTCCATTGCTTCCTATACCAGCTTATTTCCCATTTTATTTCAAAACAGTAACATTCATCAAGATTTTACCAAATCCTTCTACATATGTACATTGCAGAATTACCAAAAAATTCTCTCAATATTATATTATACAGCATAAAAGCAAAATGTTAATATATAATTTTATACCCCTAGCCCCAGTTCAACGAATACAGTACCATTTTTTATTTTAGTACTAAGCAATTATTGTTCAATAAACATTAATAGTCTAGGAAAAAATATGAGACAAGATCTCACTATATGGCATAAACTAACCTCAAACTTGCAATCCTCCAGATTCAGCCTACTACATGTTGGGATTACAAGTATATACCAATATGGTGTCTACCATGCATGGTCTTTCAGTCTAGAAAAATTATTACTTCAAAGCATTCACCCAATATATCAATTTAAGAAAACCAGGTCTGAGAATGTGGCTTAGTGGTAGAGCGCTTGCCTCGCACACATGAAGCCCTGGGTTCAATTCCTCAGTACCATATATACAGAAAAGGCCAGAAGAAGTACTGTTGTTCTCAAGTGCTAGAATGCTGGCCTTGAGCAAAAGAAGCTCTGGGACAGTGCCCAGGCCCTGAGTTCAAGCCCCAGGATTGGCAAAAAAAAAAAAAGAGCTGTGGCTCTAAGTGTCAGAGCACTAGCCTTGAGCAAAAAGAACTCAGGGACAGTACCCAGGCCCTAAGTTCAAGCCCTATGACTGACAAAAACAAACAAAAATACGAAAACAAAACAACCCAATATTATGGTTACTAAGTGTAAATAATAAAGGATAGGATCCAGGAGCAAAACACATATGTAAACAGAAATATAAACATCATAGAATTTTTAGAGCTTTTGACAGAATGGTTTCATGTATACCTTCAAGGTACTCAAGTGTAGTTGGTGACTACATAATTTATTTTTTAGATCTGAGACCCGGAGTCAAACTCAATTCCTTATGCTTTTGCTCATTGGCTAGCACTCCAACTGAGCCAGGCCTCCAAGCCCAGTGACTACATAAATTAAGACACACAGACCAGGGAGGGAAAACAGAAGAAAAGAAAATCTTCCACAGACAACAGGCAGCCAATGAGAGCGCTTGTAACAACTGAAAGATTACTTACTGGCTGTAAGGGCTGAGGCTGCCCTGGGGCAACTATTGTAGTCACAGCTGTGGTTGGCTGGACCACCACTCCTTGCGGGTGTGCTGTGAAAATCTGCTGTCCCTGGATATACTGAAGACTTGACTGGGCGTAACTCTACAAAAACCAAGACATCCATAATGTATATGTGCCTAAATCAACTGCTTTCCTGTTTCACATCATCTTACTGAAAGATGCACTATCAGTCTTTTTTTTTAAACTTATGACTGTATCTGGATACAAATATGTACAGTACTCGTTTGGAACAAACACAAAAGATTAAAAAAATATTAGTAATTCCCTGCCAGGTGCTGGTGACTCATTCCCATAATTCTAGTTACTATGGAAGCTCAGATCTGAGTATCATAGTTCAAAGCCAGCCCAAGTAGAAAAGTCAATGAGACTCTTGATATTTCCAATTAACTACTAAAAATCCAGAAATGGCACTGTGGATCAAAGTGGTAGAATGCTAGCCTTGAGCAGCACAAAAGCTCAGGAACAGGGTCCAGGCCCTAAGTTCAAGCCACAAGTCTTCAACACCCGTCCCCCACCAAAGAAAGGCTGCTAATGATACTGCTATAATAACAAGCAGTGTGACTGACAGACTAGCCACATCTGGATTAAACATTTGTAAGTGGTGCTGGGTTGGAACCTAGGGACTCAGGCAGTCTGTCATCAAAGTTTATTCCCAAACTAGAGATGAATCATTTTTGCAAGGATACAGAAAACAGAGGGAAAATTGCATAATTCTTGATTTACTATTATAGAACAGCTGATGTTACAGTTAATAAACCATATCCAAAATCAGTGGCTATGACTTATTTATCAACAAAGCCTAAACATGTTATTTATTAAAATTGCTTTAGTTTCTGGGTATCTAGAAATAACTCCTGGAAATAATTATTTCCCATCTACTTCCAGTGTGACTGCAAAGAAATCGCTAAGATCCACTTGACACATCTTTGAGACAGGGTTGCACTATGCGAGCCAGGCTGGCTTTGAACCCATTATCCTCTCCTAAAGAGCAGGAATTAGGGTAAGCACCACCATACTCTGTCCAAAACTTCTTTTTGGTAGAACTGGGGTTCGAAGAGAGGGGTAGGGAGGCACTCTACCACTTCAGCCACGCCCCTAGTCCTTTTTGTTTTAGTTACTTCTCCTGGCCTTCCTCCTTTCCCCACTACCCAACTCCACCAAGCTGGCCAGCATTGTAATCCTCCTCTTTACCCATTCTTACATAGCTGGGACCACAGGTCTGTACCACGAAGCCAGCTTACTGACTGAAATGGGGGCTACTGTTTTGCCTGGGCTGGCCTTGAACTACAATCCTCCCCAGTTGTTAGAAATACACTTGGCTCAAGTCCCAGTTTTGAGAACAACCACTACCAGGGTGAAACATGTTCATTCTTTTTTTTTTTTATTTTTGGGTCAGTTATGGGGCCTGAACTCTGGGCCTGGGTGCTGTCCCTCAGCTCTTCAGCACAAGGCAAGAACTCTACCACCTTGAGACACAGTGCATTTTCTGCATATGTGGTGCTGAGGAATCAAACCCAGGGCCTAGTGCATGCAAGGCAAGCACTTCTACCACGGAGCCACCTTCCCAGCCTGAAACATGTTATTTCTAAAGTAAGTCAGGTGGCTAAGCATCCAAATTTACAAAAAAGAAAAACAGACTTAAAAAAAAAAAAGCAAAACTATTTTGGAGACTCAAATTCCCCAATGACAGACACTATGTTTTTATAAATCATTTGTCTGATGAGATGTGATCGTCGAGTAAAGTCTTCAAATAGCTCCGGCTAACTGCTTGATTGCCATTTCACTGAAGATCCTGAGCCAGCCAACCAGCCAGCCAAACTAAGCGGCTTCTAAATCATGGAAATCATGCACAACAACACTATCTTAAGCTGCTAGGTTTTGGGGGGCAGTATTTTAAATTACATATATGTGTATATAAACACACACAGTTATAGTGTGTGTACAAAAAACATACAGATAATTGATCTGTATGTGTAAGGCCCTAATTTAACACCTCTTTCCCTCAAAAACGAAAATTCAATTGCTATATATAAGTCATCAATTGTGTGCCAGACTTGATTGACATCTCATGAATAGACTTTTTGTTGTTGGTCGTTGGTCTTGAACTCTGGGCCTGAGAGCTGTCCCTCAGCTCTTCAGCTCAAGGTGAACACTCTACCACTTGAGCCACAGCGCCACTTCTGGTTTTCTAGTGGTTTACTGGAGGTAAGAGTCTCACAGACTTTCCTGCCTGGGCTGGCTTTTTTCAGATCTCAGCCTCCTGAGTAGCTAGGATGATAAGCGTGAGCCCAGCTTTAAGGCTGGAGAGGCTGCAGAATTAGTTACCTGTACAATTGGTGGTGTTGTCTGTGAGTAGGGTGACGTCACACCATAGACAGTGGGACATGTCTGTCCTTGATAATAGATGGCTGCTTGTGGCTGTGCAGGTGAGTACTGCTGCTGTACACTGACGGACTGCTGGTTTGAATCCCAAACACTGTAATTCTGTCCCTGGACTTGGCCTGGGGCTGGTACGGGCATGACCGCAACATTGGAGTCCTGGTGTACCACACCATCCGTCGGGGCCGCATATTGTGAACTAGAAACTTCCACGGGGGCCGCCACGTGTGGCACCACTGGCACCGGCGGAGGGGCAGCGAGAGGTTCTGTTGAATGTCCTACCAAGGGCTGGGCGTGGTCATAAGGAGCAGGAGAGCACACGGGGTCCATGCTGGGCGTGGGCAGGAGCACCTTCCCAGCATTGGGGTTGCTGGGGTCCACGTAGGCCTGCATGGGGTACCCCGGTGGATAGCCAGCAAAGGGGTGATGGGAGGCGTTGTAGCCCAGAGAGTCATAGGGTAGCGGGGACGTCATGCCCAAGTTCTGCATCTGCTGCTGCTGTTTCTGGGCCTCCCGCTGGGCCACCTCTTGCTCAAATAACTTCCGGCGCTCTTCGGTGGAAAGTTTATTGCGGTCTTTAATTCGAACTTTCTTTTTCGAAGTTGGTGTATCGTACCTACAAAGAAAACAGTTAAGACCGACGACACAAGGTTACTCGTTCATGGACATAGCCAAGTACTGATAAACGTGAAGTCACGGAAACACTAGCACCGCATCAATGAACCTCTCAACACATTGGGTCCAATTAGCCATTGGTTACAAAATCACACTCTAGCTGGGCGCTGGGGGCTCACACCTGTAATCTCAGCTACTCAGGAAGCTGAGATTTCAGCATCGCAGTTCGAAGCCAGCGCAGGCAGGAAATCTGAGAGACTCAGTTCCAATTACACACCAAAAGAGCTAGAAGTGGAGCTGTGGCTCAAGTGGTAGAGTGCGCGCGCCTTGAGCAAAAGAGCTCAGGGACAGTGCCCAGGCCCTGAGTTCAAGCCCCAGGACTGGCACCACTTAAAAAAAATGTCATACTAAAATTTAGTTAAGGATGTGCAAAGGCCCCAAGGTTCCATCACCAGTACCACATGTACCCACAAAATTAATTCTGAAGGGAAGTGACGCTGTAGCTCAAGTGGTAGAGCGCTCGCCTTGAGCTGAAGAGCTGAGGGACAGCGCCCAGGCCCAGAGTTCAAGCCCCACGACCGACCAAAAAAACAAAACAAAATAATAATAATTCTGAAGGTACTAAAGATATATATCATATTCTTCCTTATTGTTAAGGATGATTACAAATTCTGAAAGTTAAAAGAAAAATAAGCCAAATGCCAGTGGCTCACTAGCTAATCAGGAGGCTGAGAAGCCACAGCCTGGGCAGAAAAGTCTACACGACACCTTTATCTCCAATTAACCACCAGGAAACTGGAAGTGGTGCTGTGGCTCAGAGTGGTAGAGTGCTAGCCTTGCCCAAAAAAGCTCAGGGACAGCAGCGCCCAGGCCCTGAGTTCAAGCTCCATCACCAACCAAAAAAGAAAGGGAGAGAAGGAGGGAAGGGCATGAGCCAAGAAATAACCCAGTATTAATCTAATTCAATGTCTCTAAGGTCCAGAGTATGGCTACGCAGATTAGCTCTGAAGAGAATTAGTACTTTGGAAGAGAAACTTGAAATTCAAAAAGATCAAAAGCCATTCACAGGTGTTAAACGGCAAAAGCTGAGAGGGCCAAATGCACAGAACTTGGGCACTTTCTCACATATCCTTGGGAAGAGACAGACTCATCACTTACCTGTCATCTGGCCTTTTGGTTCCCCGCTCATAGGCAGAAGCAGGTGGTGAAAGAGAGCCCCTTCGTTTCCTTTTCTCTTTATTTTGTGTTTGTTTGTCTGAGTCTCTTTCTCTTGACCTGTTGGGAGTCTTTGGGGCAGCTGTTTGATCTCTGAAGGCAACAATATCCCTTCCTCGTTCAGTTACTAGGGGAAAAAGGGTTTTTAAAAAGTTTATTTGGTATTTTTCCCCCGCCTCCATTGTAATAGTGCATAGTCAATAGTATAGCAACTGTATAAAGGTACTGTTTTTACAAAGCACAACGACCACAAAAGGAAAAACATATTATCATTTTATAAAGCACTTATTTATTGTGGTGCTAGGGATTGAACTCAGGGCACTGAGCATGCTAGGCAAGCAATCTACCAAAACAAACAAACAAAAAAACAACAGAAGTACAGCTGTGGCTCAAATGGTCTTGATAGAAATAGCTCAGTGAGGGCTGGGAAGGTGGCTCAGTGGTAGAGCGCTTGCCTTGCATGCATGAGGCCCTGGGTTCCATTCCTCAGCACCACATAAGCAAAAAGAAAAAAG